CCAGACAGATGCTATGGGAGACAGGCGGTCCCTCAAGTAACCAGGCCCCATGTTATGTAGAGATTTATAGGTAACAACCAGCCTTGAATTGGACCCAGAAGCAAACTGGCAACCAGTGCAGCTTGTGAAGCAGAGGTGTTACATGGGTATACTGAGGCATCCCCATAATTGCCCGCACCACTGCATTCTGGACCAGTTGAAGCTCCTGGGTGGACTTAGGGTGGCCTTATGTAGAGACAATTGCAGTAGTGAAGCTGTGAACTAACTAGGGCATGAGTGACTATCTGAACGGACCCTCAATCTAGGAAAGGGCACAACTGGAACACCAGATGAAGCTGTGCAAAGGCCCTTCCAGCCACAGCTGTCACCTGCTCATTAAGAAGGAGCTGTGAGTCCAGGAGGACCTCTAAGTTCTGTATCACCCTTGAATGTGGAAGTGCCACCCCATCCAAAGTCAGAGATGAAATATCCCCATATCTGGGCAGCCCAAACACCCACAGCTACTCAGTCCTGGTACGACTGAGTCAGAGACAATTCTTCCCCATCCAAACCCACGTAGCCTCCAAGCACTAGGACAAAACCTTAACAGCCTCACTTGGCCAGCCCAGGATTGAAACATGTAATTGAATATCATCAGCATGCTGAAGATACCAAACCCCAAACTGGCAGATGACCTCACCCAGCATGTAGATGTTGAAAAGTAGGGGAGAGAGAATAGAACCCTCCAGGAGTGATCTCTCCCCCTCAAACCAATACCAACTGAAGCCAGCCCCAGAGAAAGAAACAGATCCACTGTAAAACAGTACCCCCAATCCCCAACCCAGAGAGTTGGCTCACCATGTTTGATTATATCAAAAGTCAATGAGAGATCAAGAAGCATAAGAATGGATGTCCCACCAGCATCCCAGCTCTGCCATAGGTCATCTACAAGCACAACCAGGGCTGTCTCAGCACTAAATCCTGGCCTGAAACCTGACTGAAATAGATCTAGCTAATCCGTTTCCTCCATGATTCTCTTCAGCTGCAGGCAGACAACCTTCTCAACAACTTCCCCAGAAAGGGAAGGTGGGAGACTAGTCAATAGTTATTGAAGACCATTGGGTTGAAGGACAGCCTCTTGAGGAGGGGGTGCACTACTGCCTCTTTCAAGGCTGGAGGTATTACCCTCTCTGTCAAAGAGGCTGCCACTACCGCATGGACCCAACTGTGGGTCACCTCCCTGGCCACTTTCATAACCCAGGGGAGACCCGGATTCAGTAAGCAAGTGGTAGAGCTGAGAGCACAAAGAACCGTGTCCACTTCCTCAGGAGTCACTGGTTGAAACTCATCCTAGATCACACCACCAGACAGTCCTCCAGGCATCTCAGCCTACCCTCCCTAGTCAGAATCCAAGGCAGAGCAAATTATTCTTCTTTATATATTTTCTTGTAAATGTATTTGTATGTTTGGGAGCACTGTACAATGCAATTGCAGTTTAACTTCAGCTGACAGACAGGTGGCTTGGTACTCTCCTGTACAATTCTTGATACACAGAGTTCATGATTCCTTCAATGATGGCAAGTTGCTGAAATTCTAAAGCAGAAAAGGATCCCCAGATCATGACCCTACCACCTACGTGTTTCTTATTGTGGGTTTAGTTTCCATCACAGAGTTTAGTTTCTATCACAAAGAATAAGAGGATCATCCAGGCACCTTTTAGCAAATTTGAGATGAGCATCAGAGTTCTTAGTGAGCAATGCCTTCTGCACTACTATTTTCCCATTAATTTCATTTTTCCTTAGTGCACTTTTGTGATGAAATCATACCAAGATGAGAGAGAGGCCATTCCTGGATTGTGTTCCAAGGTCTTGTGACTTCTTGGATGATTTTAAGCTAAATTCTTGGACTGATGGCAACATGACAGCCATTCTTGGGAAAATTTACTATTGTCCCAAATCATCTCCATTTCAAGACTTTGTCTCTGAGTTTGGATTGGTGCAGTCCCAGAGCTTTTGAAATAATTCAATTATATTTAAATGCTCTACAATTCTTTTTTTTAAGTGAGCCATGATATACCTCTACAATCTATGTCGTAAGAACTTCTGTGTGATGAATGAAGGCACAGTTTGTGAGATTTACATAGGGTAAGGCCAGCCCAAATCAACTTTTATTGTTTCATGAAATATCCACACAACTGGCCCTAGCTGCCCTTTTAATTGAATGGACTGAAGCAAGAAAACTCATTTCTTTTTCACACTGGAACATCATGTGTTGGATAACTTTGTTTACAACATAAAGAAAACAAACACTAACTTGTAGTATTATTTGTTCACTCAGCCTGCCTTTATATATTAGTAGGACCTACATGAAGCTCTGTTGCGAAGATATATAAAACCTCAGAAAATCCAAAAAATGCTACTTCTTCTTCACAGAACTGTATAGTACACCATATTTTTCAGGCAAAGTGATTGAGAATATTTTAAAGTGATTATGAATGATGCTGTTCCTGTCTCTCAAACTTGGAAGTTTCCCCCTCTTACAGCAGTTAGCAATATTCCCCCTCTTTCTCTGATACAATCGTGGTACCAGTACAAAACCAACATCAAAGAAACAAAACATAAAGCGTCAAAATCAGTAACTGCAAAATGGGCAATAGCAGAATCCAATGCTTTTTTTAAAAAAGAAACATGCCAATAGAATACAGAGGCAATGGGGCATAGCATTCCATATATGGGACACTGCACAGAGAGACATCTCAGCTTTAGGCCTGCCTGACTAGTTTTATTAGGTCAGGCATCCAAATCGACCTCAAATAACTATCAGAGCACATGAGAAATTATCTGGGGAAGAAAGGAGTCTTTAAGATACCCAGGTGCAAAGCTTTTAGACTGAACGGATAATGAGAAGAAATAACAGTTTTAGCATGCCAAAAAAGCCTAGCTCATACCATCAATCTAAGTGTTGCTTTTTACACCAACCTGTTTTTTAGAGATAGCTCCCTATAAACCACATGAAGATCTTACAACCAGGTAACTAGAGAATGAATGACTGGAACACTGCAGGAAGGTGCACCTCACAATTTCTCCACTTCCTAAGAGTCTAGCAGAAATGCCACCTCATGCTAGACATCTGCAATTTCAAGAGGAGTGCAACTCCATCCAACAGAAGTGGCACATCTAAAGCCAAGTCATCTCACCTATCTACTAGCAGCGTTTTCATCTTGTCAGGATTACCCTTCACTTTCCTTCGCTCCATACAGTCTGTCACAGCTGTCAGTGAGCAGTTTGATAAGGCTGTGCATACTTCAAAAATTATCATAGGCATGGAATTAAAAAAGAAAAGCTTGTTTTCGCATTCGCACAGAAGACTGAAGAAGACCAGTTGTTTTGATGAACAGCAGAGGTGCTAGGCTTGTGCTAGGTCCAAAGCACCTCTTCAGAATCACTGAAATGTGCACAGCCCTACAGTTTAACATATCTATTCTCTTTCTAGAATCAGATAAAAACAAGAGATCAAGCTGGATAATTTGCAATCCAAATTTACCAATGTCTTCACTCAGCAGTTTCACACAGAAGATGAAAGACTGTCCAGTTCCTGACAGACTGAAGATGTTTTCAGACAAAGCCTTCCTATGCTAGAATTGTATAGGACTGCAATAGGGGTTATCGATACAGTTGTTATTGCACCAGTATATCTAACTGGACCTCGAAAAGGCACTGCCACCATTTCATCACAAGATTTTGGGGAACTGGCATGAAGTATGAGGGCCCATGAGCCTTTGCACAAGTTCATTCAATGGCACCCTGGACCAGAATAGATTACTGACCCTTCCTGAGTCATATAGGAATCCTGTACAAAATCATAAGTGACAGCAATGTCCCAAGTCCTATCTCCCACCACAGGATACAACTTCAATTAGAAGGGTTCCACCAGAAGTTGCCATAACTGCAATAATGGCATATAAGTAACGGCATTCTTAGTATACTAGCAAGAGCAGGCACCTATGATGCAATACCTCTTCAAAGTAGGGTGGCTGGCATGCTACTGCACAAACCTGAGATAATAGCAAGAACTTGCAAGGGCAAGTTTCTCGGCAGGGAAAACAGAATCAGGCAGCTGCTTCCTTGTCGGGGACAGGATGCGAGGCTTGTCACCACTACTGCATGCCTTATGCTGCTATCATTACTAGAACTCAGTGGTGAGGGGAGCTGCTATTTTCAGGGCTACCATGCAATTTTAATGTTCAGCAGTGATTCCGCCGAAGAGAACAGATTCCCATGAAGAGAACAAAAAATGCTTGAGTCAATTCATCTGCAGAATTATTCATTTAGAGATCTTCTAGAGATAGGGAAGGGAGGAATTGTGTTATGTGTCCTATCAAACAGGCAGAAAAAACAAGGCAGTTTGGATTATTATTCATAGGCAGATATAAATAAAATTCCAGCAGATTTTCTCATTTAACCCTTTAGTTATTCTGTTAATTTATAGTCACAAATGCAAAGGCATTCTCCTACATAGGTCTACAGGCTTATATATTGGACTTTCTTAATTATATGTCCCAAATTCTTTATATTAATTCCAAGGAAATAAAAGTATTGTTTTAAAATAATATATAATTCAATCCTGTATGTCAGTTTAGAATGGCATACAATAGTACAAGAACATGTTGGGCCAGAAAGAAACATGGAGGGTCTTCAAACACAGTAGAATACCCCAGTATTATCTGTACTGCCTTGCACTATGCAGAGTTGGCTTCCTGCAAACCATGGTTTTCAAACCTCAGTTTGAAGACAATCTGTAAATCCATATTAGGCAGGAACCTGATTAACCCTTGCTATACAGGTAGCCCTGTTAAATGCTAACCTATGGGTAAAAGATAACAAGAAAAGGGAAAATCCATATCAGAGAAGAGAGGAAATACATTACTAAGGCAAAATTCTGAATTGCAATTCATGGCTTCTAGGGGACATATCTTCAACAAGAAAATATTCACAGCTATGAAGAAAAGTCAAGAAACTTTGTTACAGATACCTTGTGACTTCGTGCTGCAGCAGGGCAACACTGGGCACATAAAACATGACCCCAAAGAAAAGCAAAGACTCGCTGGCAAACTTGTCCAGCTGCTTTTTCAAAGGCTTCTCCAGTTCCACCCATCGCACTTGCTGGCTCTTGTTGTGAAACCAAAGGCCAAAATAGTGTGTCTAGAGGAAAAGAAGTTTAAAAACAAAGAAAAAATTATTCTCTGGTCATGTTTACAAAAAATAAAACTTTCTGTTTTTCCCTCTCCCTTATATTTATACTTGAGTATATTAATATTGAGGCAGCTAATACCCACGTGCTTCATTTTTCCACCCAATATGCTTTCCAATTGTTACTATACAAATTGGGGAATGAATTCACAGATCTTTTTTTTTAAAGAAAAAAAAGAAAGAAGAAAACAACTGTATCTTTATAACAGCAAGACTAAAATAGGCCATCATCACAAATCAGATAAAACTATTTGAAATGTACATTAAAAAGGTCAAATAATTAAAGTATGTGGCCAGTTCAATGCCTTAACTGAAATAGGTTAAGGGAAAAAAAAAAAAAGGACGTTGAGGCCTCTCAGAGAGTTATTAAAGGGAAATTTCAGGAAATTTCAATTATTCCTTGGCTGAAAATGTCTTGGTTTAGGGCTCACCAATATAATTGATATCAGATCTGAGAAATATTTCTGGGGTGGATGTATAGAAAAATGCAAGATAAAACAATTGGTGGACTCAGCAACTAATTTTACCAGAAATGAGATCTGATATATTTTAAATATTCCTGGATCACTTTTAATTTAAATCTCCTGGAGCTGCATTTCCTTCTCAACATCAAATGGCACAGATCTCAGTAAAAATATGGTTCGGAAATTATTTGTGAGGGAAAGTAAAAACAAGCATAACAATAAACATTATTACATGTATCAATCAGAATCCAAGTTTCCTGTATCAGCTGTAATAAAATTATGCGAATTATCCAAAATTGCATGTGGTTTAAACTTACATCAGTTGGAAGAAAGCTAGAGCTATAGAGTAATTAAAAACAGTTTTTAAACAGCAGCAGGTTTTGATAGCTTTTTAAAAAATGTAGTAAAGTACAGTAATACAAAAGTAATCAGAAGAGATTCCAGAAGCAAACTAACAAAAACAAAATTTATTATCTGAAGCTTGTCCAGCATTCCAAGAAAGAATGAATGAATATAAATTCTTGGTGCCTGGCAAGCAATAGTGGTTGTAAAGAAAGTTGCTCCTTGTGTACCTTCAAACATTTTTGTGATGACTACACCAGTCTGTGGTGGAGGATTTGGCCTCTGTGGAATGCAGGAATGCCATGTAGCTCATTCTACATTAACCCGTATCTTAACTGGCTAACTGAATTATCAGATCAAAACTGCAAGAGCTTAGAGATGAAATGAGTTCCAGGAGCTGCATGCCAGCTATTTTATCATGTTTTTAGTCATCATTCCTGGCTTATTATATATAATTCTGATTTTTCCTTGGGTCTTGCTCATTTTTTAAAAAAGAAAAATCAGAATTAAAGATAGCAAAGAACGTTGACCAACCATTATCTGGATTAGCAAAAGTCCATGACTTGATCTTAAATGATGTCAAAACCTTACCCCTTCCAAAAGCAGATTGATAGGCAGTAATCAACTGCCCATCTATGCTGCTTACAAAAATTTACAAGGTGAGAGACAAAGAGAGAGAAAGAGAAAGAGAAGGTCCTCACTCTCTTATCTGTCCCATAAGAACAATAGCATTTATTTCTATTATCTTCCTAATGAAGGAATTTAAATAACTGGAGTCAATTCTTTATACTTTAGCACCACCTATAAAGAGAACCGGGCCTCATGCAGGGCTATTGTTCAGCAAAGAAGAATCTTCTTTAGAATCACAGCAGCTGATGGCATACAGCCCCAGAAGAAACTTAATGGAAACTTGTTATCAGCCACCCCCTTTCTGGCCAAATTGCAAGATCAAAATATTCTATTCTTAGCAGTTTCATACCACTGAAACATCTTGGCCCAACTCCGTGGAATAAAGCACAGTGGCACTCCCACATGCAGAGCTGGGTTCTGGAAAGCTAGCTTGAGGTGGTGAAGGCATTTGCTGGTGTCTACAGTAACTACCTTTGCATGATTCTCTCTTTTCAATATGTACATGAACATCCAAATTTTGGAGAGAGATTAATTTGGAGCCTGTATGCTGCTCTTTCTCTTTGTCATCGAGTTAGGTGAGACTGAACAATGAGCCTCTGCTTGGATTCAGTCATGAGCCGGATTAGGGCCAATAAAATGAAAGTAAATTTTGAGAAGAAAGAGGCCCTGTGGGGATGATCATCCTTTGTCCAGCGTTCTTGTGTTTCAGTTAGTATGGGCGGAGATGCACACCCATTCAAATAGCAAGACTGTAACTTGAAGACACTCCTAGATCCAGCCTGGGCACTAGAACCTCAGGTAATCTCAGTGGCCCAAAGCAATTTTTAAAATAAGTTTTCACTAATTCACCAGTTGTTAACTGTTCCTGGCTGTGAAAATCAATTTCTCATACCTGTCTGGTAGTGCATAATACAGGGTTATGGGGCTGCCCTTGGAGGTCAAAAACACAGAACAGAACCACTACGGATTTAACTGGCAGAATCAGCCTTATTCATGTTAACACCATACTTCAAGGATTGTATATGTCCTAATTCAAGGCAGAAATACAAGCTTTAAATAACCGGGGATCCAGATGTTTGAAGGTGTCTCTCTCCCCGTACCAAAGTGCCTTGTGGTATGAGAAGCTCTTCTCTATCAGAGTTGAAGGGGACTATTAGTGTTCTGATTGAGGAATGTACTACCTTCCCTAAAAAGATGGACTCAGCACCTATATAATCATTTGCTTGGCAGCAATTTCGGTCATTTTCATTTTCCTAGGCATTTTCATTAAAAAAAAAAAAAAAAACCTTAGTATTTAGTGCAATCAT